ACGCAGGTTACTTTCACACATGCACGGTGCATCACGCTCCAAAGCCTAAAAATTACAGTCGACCAACTCAACAAATAGAATATTGGGAAATAGTAATTACTCCTATGTGAGCCAAGCAGTGTGGATGGCCGCAAAATTGTGTGAACAAAGTGTATCCCTGTCCAACTCACTGAAAAGATTCCCGATTCTCGTAAGCCCTAACTCTCTCTCTCTCACACACACAATTAAATAAATCGTTCCAATAGGCTAATGTCCTGATCTCTGAGCTTGGCAACATGTTTCTCAATATTCTGACTAAGAAATTATGATGTCACCCTACTTGTATTAACTACATGAATAGCCCTTATTTTCCAAGGTTCCACAAAGTACATCTCTAACGCTGAATCTTTCTCATTCACGAATATTACTTGTATTCAGGTGTTTCTAACAGACGAGTTCGCTTGCTCATTTCAGTCTCATGCATGGAAATCTCTCCAAAAAGAATATGGTATTTCCATAAAGGAAACTACACACAAGGTTGCTGAAAACTCTTCGACAGCCCACGACCGGTTTCACCCTTTTTGGGTCTCATCAGGTAGACACAGTCCCCGAGTATCCGTCAACCTTATGATCTACTTGAACCCAAATTGCACTGTTTTCGAGAAATACACTCATTTGCAAATCAATTTGGTTTTTCACGAGAGAATCAACTGAAAGTGTAGAATATCATAAACGAGAGATTCAGTTGGGTCCCTCGTGAAAACCAAACTGATTGGCGAAATGAGTGTATTTCTCGAATATGATATTTCCCTAAACAGCATGCCAGCCGTGTCAGATTTCAACTTGAATTCGTTAGACAAGACAAAGCAGGTCCTGGGCACATTTGTAGGTAGTTTATGTTATCACAAAACTTAACGATTCTCCGTTTCCGATGTCCTCAGTTTTCTAATACGACAATTGTCCATTTAATTCTGGTTGGCCGATTACCGTTAATGTTTCCGATGATCTTTGTATGTCAGGAGATTTTCTTTTTGAAACTTCGAGGACAGTAAATCACAGACCGTTTGTGAACCGAACCGAAGGAACGATTGACTGGGTCATCTGTAGAACAACTCGATAGTGAATACAGATCACGATGAATAACGTGAACAACGTAAAAGTGAAACTCCATCCCTAAGTGCGGGTATTGCGCCCATGATTCGGTCCCACTGTGGTGGCTCTTCAATAGCGGAGGACGTTTGATGATATTAATGTGAGTTTATATGAGTTCATGTCTGAAGCTTCATTTTAATGACCCGAAAATCTGTGGTTCAAACTCAACCTCCGCACCTCTACTGCATCTGTCTGGGTTTGGGCAACACGGTAGTATCTCAGCCCTTGTACTCCTTCCAAGGGGTATGACAACCGGGCACCAAAAAGATGTTAAAGCTGGACGATTATTATTTGTTATTATAATTCGTTCTCGGACATACCCAGTAGATAGCGGGACTCGGAATCAAGCAATAATAACAGGTAATCCTAACAGTATTGAGAACAATGCACCAGAGGAAGAGATAACATGAAATACCGCACTACTGAACATGGACGGCTTTAGATTTGTTTGGCTAGTCAAAGAATAAGGCAAATACAACTACAGGCAGTATGAAGGTTCAAGCACGAGTGGACTGGTGACGGCCGTGTAGAAGATATGTACACTTACAGGTATGGCATACACTAAGGCTGTTCTGGACACAAAGAAACAGCTGTCGGCCCAATAAGAATAGAGTGGTATTAGACAGGAAACCTAGAAAAGTTGCAGATGCCTTAGGGGCATGCCTGTATGGCATATGAGCACTGATTTACGATGTTTGGTTATAGAAGAGGCTCTTGAAGAAGCTGCGACAGTTTTACAGCTTCTGGAGACGGAACACCCCCAAAGTAGATTAAAGACCAAGAGTATCGAACTTCGTGTTTTATCTGTTCACGCTCGGGAAAATGTTTTAGTAATATCTGCGAGGTCTCATTCTATCCGTTTCCAACACCATTAAATTTTCTCAAGGTTAGCCAAAGGGAGACCGGATGTGTGGCGAAAGAGTATCTCGATTTCAAAGAGATACACAATATCATTAACCGGCAGTTTCAGTTACATTCAATTTTCCGAACAAACTGCTCGTTTGCTTGGCTATGGATCTGAGTACAAACTATTCCATTACAAAAAGGACAACTTTAGGAAAGGGCTAACAAGTATTGAACACTACTCTAATGAAAATCTAGAAAGGGTTAATGGAATGCAATCAGCACAAGACGCTTTCACACAAAATGATACAGACGAAACCATACAAGGTAGATGAGGCTCGATGGCGAGCACGGCTAAGGCAAAAGACGACAGGAACATCTGATCCATAATAGTAATTGACTGGTCTATGGTTCCACATCTATTCGGGAATGGAATATTGCGAAGACATTTTCGGGTGTTTGGGAGCGGGAAACGTCTTGGTAGATCCTGCTCATGCTATAAGTGCTATACCTCCGGTTTCCAGTACCAGGATAAATATGGTAACTCGAGGCCTTTTCATTCAAATTGGAGGAAATATCAGTGTGATATGGTATGATTCGGAGCACAAGCTCAGCTTTGAGCAGAAAATAAGTGCTGCATCGACAAATGGACAGAAATCCCTTATCAAAGTAGAATAATTTTTTCGAACAAAGATGGTCACCCTAAAATCCCACGAAGGTGTTTGGTACCGGCATGCCAATACTAATAATACCTGTATAACGAAGGATACTACTGGTGAGGCATGCGAGCAGTATGTTTTCTCGTAAATCCGCTTCGCGTCTGTTGAAAAGTGAGACTTATTGAGGAATTTGTGAGACTGCTTTGTAGAATTTGTTTACACTTGCGTAATAGCCAATGAATATCCAGGAAAGTTCAGGAAGACGCGTTCAAGAAGAAGCCGGATATTCAGTTTTTGTAAACAGGTTGAAAAGGAGAGTTTTGCTTCCCTGTCCAATAGTCTGTAAATGTTTAGTTGGTTTTTTAATAAACAAATCCACAGCAAAGGCCTTGTTCCTTTCATTTGGTGCCGTGACCAGGATAAGGATGAAGATCCTATAGCCACAACCCTTTGAGGATGGGAATGTTCGGGCTATTCTGGAGGGCACCGAGGAGATCGCGGAGGCTGCTGGACTGAAGACCAGCCCGGATATGCTAGAGGCGCTGGAGACCCTCCCGAGAGGCCGAGCGAAGACAGCTCTGGATGTGGTCAGAAGGGCCCTCGTAAGATGGACTGGGCCGCCACGAAGGAAGCTCTTGCAGAGGAGTTCGACACACCGGCCGACCGTCAGGAGGTTATGAGGCGGTTCAAGACGGCCATGATGGAACTGGGAGGTGACCCGACGGTGTTCCTTGCCGGCCTCCAGCAGTCGCTGGATCAGGCATAGTCGGGACTGGACCGACTGTTGCGCCAGCAGTTGCTGTCTGACCAGTTTTCCATTTGGAAGATACAGTGTGTGTTGGTCACGTTCAGAATAGAGTTGGACTACGGATAAACGAACCAATAACGGGTACCAACGACTCACATTTTGAACACAGGGACTGACCTATTCTCTTTATTTGGGGATTTACTGAATCTGAGGGCGACGATATCGCCGAAGTTTGGAGTGACTAGCAATACAAAACCCTAATTAACTACTGTGATAGAAGCCGGAAACGCTTTACTTATTAATTACCCTTGTCTGTATGTACCGGTAAAAACTAGACGATACATTGATATGAAGCATTTTTGTTCACTAAATGCTCTAGTGCTGTTCAAGGTAACGAGTGAGTTTTTTTTTACAAAGGACTCGGCCTCAAGGGTTTATTGTGTGCGGGTTGGCTGCTGAGATCACATAACCAAACTTTGTCTCGTATGAACACCATCCAGCTGCAGTTCTGAATACCTGTGTGAAACTAAATCCTCAATGGTGTTTTCTCTGCGGCACTGGTGAAGAAACTACCAGTGTAACGGTGATACTACTGACGGGAGAGGCATACGAGTAATATGTTTTCTCGTAAATCCGCTTTGCGCCTCTATTGCGGAATTCGTGGAGTTGCCTTGTAGCATTTGCTTGAATTTGAGCGACAGTCAATGAATATCCAGGAAAATTCAGGAAGACGCGTTTAAGAGAAGATGGATGTTCAGTTTTTGCAAACAAGATGCATATGAAAGTTTTGCTTCCCTGTCCAATAGTCTGTAACCGGCCCGTTGGCATTTTCTAATAAACAACTCCGCAGCGAGGGCCTTCTTCTTTTCAGCAGCACTATCGAACAGTGTATGAATTCAGGGCATGTATTCGCCCAGAAGGGGACAATACCTTTCTGTAAGCTTAGTGTGCTGAAGTGATACTTCATTCATGTTAATCCGGATGGTGAGACAGTGAACAGATAAGTACATGATGTCTGATGCGACAGCACGTCCTTCAAGTAGCCGTTGCTCGAAAATATGGCAATTAAATATGTGTACTAACTTTAGGCCCATCTGCATTTCTGCATCAGTGATTGACGGTGGTTTTAAAAAATGTTCCCTCTATAAGTCGTAGCTTCAAAAAACAGCATGGAAAGAAAAAACCACTGAAATTTCCTGCAGCCATATTACAGGCGGGATTCCTCTATTACGCATGTACACGTACAGTTGCTTCCCTGTCCACGCCCATGCACGATAAAGCACTACTCTGATTGGCTACGCTAAAGACCTTGAGGGATGAAGCAGCAAAACAGACCAAATGGCCGCGGCCGGCACGCCCACAGCGATCACGTCACGTGCGACGGAAGTGGATTGGTCCGATTACGGTCGTTCCGACCATCGACGGCAAGCGAACATAACACATGCTTTCAGTGCTTTTTCCCGATCACATTGTTGTACTGGGAAATCACAGCAACGATAAAAAGCTAACGAGGAGACACTCAAACATCATTGAGACTGGACGTAATCCACACAGAAGAGAGAAAAAGGGGAGAAAGAGAAGAGTGGTACGCGTGTAACAACGGCAAACACTTAACGCACCTTGCTGTTTACAGGCAGCTTGTGCCTCATACTCCTGAGCTGATCGGTAGATGGGTACATTCAGATTGTTCGTAGAAGACATGTGGTCATTGACAGAGAATATCTTCCCATCTCGGACATGCTGTATGAGAAACCTATAGACAAAATAAGGGTAGGTAAGTGTATTAGCATAAGGTCTTTCGAGGGTAATTGTGAAAAGAAGTAAAATTAGACAAGAGTCAATCGCTAGGTGCGACAGAAAAACAAATTTGTGGCATGTATATGACTAACACCCAAATCGGATTTTGCCGATCAACAGTGGACAAATTACTGGACATCTGCGAATAGTAAAAAGCTACAGACTGTCTCTGTGGCGTCGAACACGGTGTTGCACGCAATTCCTTGGTGCCGATGTAAACCCGAGAGGATACTCAGCGACCCACGTGCAAAGGCCTATCGCGAGCCATTGGCAGGCCTAAACATGATCTGCAAGGTACCGGCGTCACCCGTCGGGTGGGTAATAACGAGAGACCCATTAGAAGGCTGCATGCGTTAGGTGGGCTAGTGAGAACGCTGGTGACCCAAAAGACCGAATCTATTAAGGCACGTGTGTTCGCATTTTCCGCAAGTCCACACATATGAGGCTGCATTAGGAAGAATGGCTGACATATTTCCAGCATTCCAACGCGTCGCGTCTCAAGGATTCACACATCTGCTTGAACAGCCGTTCTCCCAGCCGTTGTGTCGAGTATCAGATCTTAGCATGAGCTAAAAGTTACCGCTCTTCAAGCTTACCTGAAGACTATTTCAATAACGGAGTTTCTGACATTTTTTATCTCAAACTCCGTTCTTCAGCTGAGTGCAAAAAAGTGCTCTGGGCTGAGAGTTTCGGCCACTCGTTTCAAGTGGCCAAGCCAGCGGAGCTAGCTTCGCATCAAACTGCAGTTAACTCCAACAATGTATTTTTCCTCCGAAGGACTTCAGTGTTCGGGATTCTGCCACATCTTATCCACAGTGCAAGTGAAATCAGTCAAGAATTCAAGCATGCCGTCCACAGAGCCTCTGGGTTTCGCAGCAGTGCAGCGATGAAGATACCACAACGGTCTGGCGCACTGCAACCTTGGTGTCAATGCGCAAGTACTGATTGTTCCAGAAGCGTTTCTCAAGGCGACCGAATACCATGGTAACTTTTGAGGTTCATGGGTTCATTTCATTTCTAAGTGTTAGGTCTATGAACAACGTGTCGCAGGACGGAGGAAATTCGTGCAACACGCTATATCATAGTCATTTGACAGAATACCTGGTGTTTCATGTTGAAACTCAGGTGAAGTCCGATAACAGAAACGCGTTTTGGAAATGTTTATATTTCAGCCAAAGCAAGATGCCAGTGAACCGAATGTCGTAGCCAGCCGCTGTAGTTCTACTTTGGAACGCCAAAATAAGGCCCAGAAGTCTGTAAACAGAAGCGCAGCAGTGTTTCTACCAGGAAACTCTTCGACTTGCATAGGAAAACAATGCAGCCGGTATTAAATGGGTAGGCTGCCTACGCAACGGCACAAGGCCTGTGTATATAGGCTGAAAGTGAGTGCAGTAAGAACACAACCCTGCTGCACTCGGCCTTTCATTCCAGCGTGGAAAGCTTTGTTGAGGTCGACAAATTTGTAGCACGATACGCAGTGCCTTTTTCCTGACTAACCCGAAGACTTAGGGGAAGTCCACAAACAGTCCACAGAGTGGTAGATTCCGTTGACGACACTTGTCGTGAATTTGGCCCACAGCAAAAATTACGTCAATCGTGCTTCGCTCGCCTCGAAACCCACACTGTTGCTACAGAACGTCTTCCTTCGAAATGCCACCGATTGGTCGAATGAGCAGGATACGAGTCATAATCTGTGCACAGAAGAAGCTGATCGGACAGCGGCCCAAATTGAAGTAAAGAGCAAACTTCGGGGTAGTGGGTATCCAGCTAGCTTGGTTAAGCGCTAATTGCGAAGGGTGCTGTTACCGGTAGGGAAACCCAACAGGGAATGGATCGGAACCGCTGTAATCCCATATAAACCAGGGACATCGGAGGCAATTCGAAGAATTTTAAACATAGCTAACCTAAGAGTAGCTTTCCAAAGGGCGAACACTCTGCGCTCTGCACTGGTGCAAACAAAGGACCGCCTCCCGGCAAACAGGACTAGGGACTGTGTCTACAAAATAAAGTGTAACGACTGCACCAAGGTCTATATAGGACAGACGGCCAGGGAACTGCACATCAGAGTCAGAGAGCATAGTAGAAAAATAAACAGGCCGCCGAGAAACGCAGATGAATATCAAGCGTTACTGAAAGACTCGGCAATCGCGGAACACGCACTGGACACGGGGCACAAAATAGACTTAGAAAATGTTGAGGTTTTGAGGCGAGGACTACGGTCCACCTCACAGAGACTGATAGCAGAGGCGGTAGAAATCGCCAAGCATACCAGCGTTAACAGAATGGAAAGCGTGGAACTGGCAAGCGTGTGGAGAACGTTCTTGGGTCATTCGAGCTAACACGTGTTGGTGTGCGATCATCAGAGGGAAGAGTGGTCATCACCTGAACTCCACTTAACCTTACGCACCTCCCCTCCCCCCAACTAAATTGTCGTAACATTCACGTCCCCCGATGACCAAGGATCCACCAGTGGTGAATCGTCAAGTGAAGCACCCTGAAGTGGAAGATTAAGGAACGAAAAGCGATCGGAAGTAATTTGAAACTCCTCCAACCCACCACTTCAAGATTTTGACACCCACGCTAGCCGACAAGAGCTGTTAATTGACACTCAACACTGATCTAGTGTGAAGAGGACTTACTGATTAGTTCCCCGTCTGTCTTATAACCTGGCCAATTTGTTGACCTGTTCACTTGGCCTGATGAAGCTTTTGTGTCAAAAGCGAAACGTTGCCCAAATAAAAACGATTGATTGTTTACCAAGCTCTTCTGAAACGAGTCATAATCTTGTTTCCTGTACATGAGAGATCGGTTCCACAGTAGTTGTCCGTCATCTGTCGATTTCCCTTCCCTTTATACAGAGAAATGGTCAGTGCAAGTCCGAAATTTTGTGGAACGTCCTTAGCCCTACACATTCTGCGTGACAGATTGAGAGGTAGATTCTGCAGTGTCAGCCTTTCCAGTCCTAATAGGTCTGTGGGAAAGCTGTACAGTCCCGGTGCTCCCCGATTTCACAGTTGGTTTAAGGCCTCGCAGTTCTGCCGCTCTACGAAAGTCAACCAAGTAGGTCTCCGGTATTTTGGGGCAGGTGGGCTATGTAGTAGAAATCGGGGCCTCTTGGCCAGTTGAATAGCGTTTAAAAGTGATGTTTCCAGGCTGCCAGAATTTCATCGGCCTTATTTAGTTTCCACCAGCGTGTTCGTCTTTTACAAGCTGTAGATACTGTGGTTTTGATCTATAGATTCCTTGCAGTATGGTAAGGAACTGTTCGTGACAGCCTTGATCTAGTTACGACGAAAGCGCTCCATTTTGTTTGGCCTACCACTTATTGGTTTCCGCAGGTGTTTTAGAAAGTTGATCCCGGCCGTTTTTAGTTGCTTTGGGGCCTATTTGTTTGTTCATATCCATAGGCCCTCATACTGATAGACTTCAATCCACCCAACGTGTTAGCAACAGCAGGTACAACTTGAAGCACCATATGATAACGATCGTAGGCATCCAGATCGAGCAACTGCACCTGAGACCCACTGACTGGTGGGATGACAACAACCAGCGTATAGAACAGGCGGTGCCTGGAAAGAGTCGGCTGTTTGAGGAATACCTTCCCCATCCGAAGATCGAGGTTAAGAAACAGTGGCTAAAAGATACTTGAAATAACCTGATCGGAAATCCAACTGCATCAAGGTCAAATGGTGAAGGATCGAAAGTGGGCAGGCCGAATGGTTCGCAGCAACACGAAGAATTTTACGATACACCGATTATGGGCCGAGCATCAAACCAGCCCAAAGTCTGCAGAACCACACAGAAACCAACCACAGAAATATTGGATAAATGGCGTAAACAATTCAGCAAGTCGTTGACCGACAGATAAGCGTCAAATAGACTGTCATGAAAGGACTGCCTCAACGGGCGATGACGCTGTGCGTAGACCGACTATCGAAGAGATACGGCAGGCGGACATGCAAGTGCGAAATCGCAAGCCAGTTTGGAAAACATGCTTGCAGCGGAACTACTCAAATGTCTTGGTCCGACTTTGGGGGACGCACTTATTTAGCTGATGAACATGGTCGTGCCACAAGAAGCAAGACCTGACCTAGCAACTATAGAGATATCAGTCTGCGAAGCTGGCACGCGTGCCATCTCACCGCTTGAAGGCTGACATGATCGAAGCATCCACTCCGAACGAACAATGTGGATTCCGTGCTAGTCGTAGAAAAGTGGACCTGATAATTGTTGTATGACAGTTTCAAGAAAAATCTCGCAAAAATCGGCACATGTTCCACGCCCTCTTCATGGAATGCAAAGAAGTGTTCGACTGTGGAAAGTTCTCTCTAAATATGGCAGTCCACTAAAAGTGGTCAAATTCATTCGAAGCCTACATGACGGAATGAGAACAAAGGTTGAAACTACCGGGTCGAATTTAGGTGATTATGAAATCCTCGTCGGCGTAAAACGCATGTATTATCGTACCAGCTGACTCTTGCTAACGGCCATTGGCCATCCAATGGCTGACGTGATCGACGATATTGAGTATAGGAGTATAGGATTGATGGATGTTTGTTCAATAGTGAACGTTTCGGTCCCCAAAATCAAGGTCCACATTGCCATGTTCTTTGGACGACTACATATTGTTCGAACACATGCATGAGGAACTGAAGCGCCAGTCTGAGTTTGAAACTGACGCCGTGTAGTTTTGTCCTGGTATTGGCCCGAAGGGACTCCCGTCGTGCACTAAACTGTGCCAGATGGAACCCCGACACACCCGGTACCAAGGGCGATGCACAGTTCATGGACTAATACGCGGGCTTCTGCTGCCTAAGACACACTACTAGCCGACTTGTTCGACCTAAACCTGTTTCTTTGATGTGGTGATCGGACTTGAATGTTGCTGAAACTTCATTCCACAAGGTACAACCATGATCAAAGTGGAGCAGCTAGGATAAAAGAAGCAGCACCTCG